GGTTTGCATATAGATATTAAATGTAAGATTATAATTAGTGCTACTAGTTATAAACTTGATATGTTGTGAACTAGAGGACCAAAGAGTTTGTTATTGCTGATAACTTCATGGTCTACATCAAAATTATGACATAATAGAGAGTTAGAGGTCTGGACCATTATTTTATTTTAGAGGGCTTTGACGCAACCTATTTACTTAATTTACTTATCAAGTGGATATTATTCGAGTTTTCATCATATAAGATATTCTCCCAAATTGAGAAAGCATTTAGCCTCATATTTCCCCTATCTATGTTTTTGCAAATACTTAGGTTCTTAATGCTTCAATATTGTTATTTTTAGCAATAACCATTAGTGGGGACATTTTAGTCAGTTGGTAATTTAGCTCTAATTAATTTCTTACGAGATGGAAGAGCGTTTCTTAAATTCACTAGAGACCCAGAAGGAAAGAAATCTTAAAACAAGTAGACTAAAAAAAAAGCATTTTGGGAGGCTAAATAATTATTATAAAATATAGAATTTCTTATGAATCTTGTTTAAGAAGAATGAATATCCTAACCATTCCCAATCTTTACTTAGATGTCATATAGGAGTTTTAATGCTACTTCAAAAACCCTTAAGCATTAAATCATCATATGCTTGATGGACAAAAAACTTTTGTATAAGATGATGAGAGTATACATAATTAGAACTCTTCTTTCTGAAAGTCTTTTCCCTTCTAGATTAAATTTTCATAAGAGAAGAGGATATCCTAAAGACACGATTTAACAAAAAATTGTTAATAATAACTTAGAATATAATTCCTTTATGCCAAGTGTAACACAAAAATGATGCAATATACCCAGATAAACTTTCAAGGTAAACACTATTCAGAGTGGCGTAGTAGAAATGTGATAGGGATCCATAAACCACCACACATGAAAGATTTCTCTCTAAACCATCTAAGAATCACTATAAGTGTACTAGGCATAATAGAAGGCCTATGATCAACCATACTACTACAGACTGCTCCAATATGAAAATATCTAACCTCCATCCTCTCTCATCTAGAAAAGAACTTAAATTTTCTCAACTATTAATAAAAGTATGTTTTGTGATTATGGCAAATCATGAAAAAAAAAAGAGAAAACAA